GATTAAATTTTACTATGCAGAGAAAAAAATGAATTTCTTTAAAAAAAAAACTTTCTATGTCTGGCAAAAGATGAACCAAAGCTGGAACAGCCCTGTCTGTTAAAGGAATTACATTTATTATTAACATTTTCCATCAAGAAAACTTCAGATCCCAGGGCTAGAGAGCAGTTAAAAGCACTGGCTGCTTTTGCAGGGGACCTGGGTTTGGCTCCCAGTACCCATATGGCAGCTAATAACCTTCCTTAACTCCAACTCCAGGGGATCCAATGCCTTCCTCTGGCCTCCATGGGCACTAGGCACACGTGTGGTACACTTACATACATGCAGGCAAATACTCACACAATCAAATTTTAAAATCTTCTAAAAATATAAAACACTACTGAGAGAAATTATAAATCTAAAAATATTTCTGAACTATTTTGTGTGTAGAAGATTCAATATTGTTAAGATGTCAGTTCTCTTAAGTTTGATATACAAAGTCAATCCCAAATAAAACTCTAATATGCTTTATGTAAAAAATTAGAAATGATTATGAAATGTATATGGACATGCAAATGACCTAGAAGAGCTACCATGTTTTTTTTAAAAAAAGCAAAATTGGAAAACTTGTACAAGCTAATTTGAATATTTAACCATAAAAGCTATGGTAATATAAGTTTTCCTTAAAGACAATGTTTTAACTATATTTTCCACATTCTTGATGCTCTAGCAACTGAGGCTTACATGATACTGGAGAGCCTGCTTCCATGGCTAGCTAATTCCTTGAGACGGCAAATACTCACCTATTGATATGCCTTTCAATGTGAAGCAACCAATTTGAAGCTCAAATCCTCATCAACCTCCTTTATTGACCTCTCACAGTGATCTACTATCTCCCTAATCCAATCATCCCAGAACCAGCTACAGGGAAACTAAGAACAGTCCCTGTAACCCTGGAGCCCATTGAAGTTATTAAAACCAGCTCATCTTAAATCTGCCTACCCTGCTTGGTTCATTTCTTCCCACAAAACTACAATAAAGTCTCTGGCCCCTGCAGTGCCTTCCTTCCTTCTACCTCCTGACTGACTCTGGTGCTCTCTATGTGACCCTGCATGGTGTGGCAAGCTAGCTACTCTTGAGAACTATAATAAATTACATTTTTGATAGCAGTTGTCTCCTCATCTGTTGGCTTCAATGTGAACAACAGTAAGACCGACATTTAAAAACAGGCAAACAGCCAAGCATGGTGATGCAAGCTTTTAATCCCAGCATTTGGGAGGCAGAGGCAGGGGGATGTTTGTGAGTTTGAGGCCAAGCCTGGTCTACATAGGAGTTCCTGGTCAGCTGCGGCTATAGGGAGACCCTGTTTCAAAAAGACCGAAAAAACAAATACAAAACAAAACCCAAACAAAAACAAAAACTCATGCAGTGCCTGCAGAGGTCAGAAGAGAGCATCAGATCCCCTGGCATTGGAGTTAAGGATGGTTGTTGGCTACCATGTGGGTGCTGGGAACTGAACTTGGGTCCTTTGCAAGAGCGACCAGTGCTCTTAACTGCTGAGTCATTTCTCCAGCTCCTTAAAAATTATTTCTACTATCTAATATAGTGTAAATGCTATGCAATTACAGGATCGATGAGATAATGGCAAGAAAGGTGTCTGTACATGTTCAGTTCAGATGCAGTGCTGCCCCACTCCTGTTCAGTCAAAAAGAAAAATAAAATTATAACATTTTCAGGAAAATGGAAGAAACAGGTGAGTATTAAGTGAGGTAACCTAGACTCAGAAAGACAAATACTACATTTTCTCTCTCATATGCACATCCTAGCTTCTAAGCATTAAATATAAGTAAACTAGGAAGGGGCCCATGAGACAACAAAAAAAGAAGTTTTAAGGGAGGGAAGGACAACAAAATAAATAAATAGATTTTTATAGACATGCCAAGGAAATCCTTTTTTCAATGGAAAAAAAAAGAAAAGTCTTCTGCAAATGGTTCTGGAACAATTAGGTATCAGTATTTAAAAAAATAAAATTTAAATTAAAAAAAAAAACCTGAACTGAATCAGGGGAGATGGCTAGTAAAGTTCTTGATGTGCTAGCATGAGGACCTGTGTTTGATGCCCAGAACCCACGTTAAAAAAGCCAGGCACAATGGTATGCACTTGTAATCCCAGTGCTGGGAAGGCAGAAACAAGTGAATCCCTGGGGTTCTCTGGCTAGCGAGCCTCAACTAGGTGAGTTCCAGGCTGTGAGAGCTCTGTCTCAAAACATTTACAATATGGATGGCTCCTGAGGAACAACACCCAAGGATGAACTCTGGCCTCCACACACATATGCATGTGCACATGCACACATATAAGCACCCTCCACACACACAAACTAAACCTTGGTCTATCACATGCACCCAATAAAAGGGATCACAGACCTAAATTAAAAGGATGATAAAACTTGTTGGGCATAGTGATATGCATACCTACAAACCCAGCATTCAGGAGGCTGAAGCAGGAGGATTGAGAGTTTGATGGCAGTGTGTACCACATAATGAGACTTTGTCTCAAATAAACAAACAACAAAAACCAAAGAAACAAAACCAAAAACTAATTAAAGGATGAACAACATCCCTCCCAAAATGAGAATGCTATGAACAGATGTTTCACGAAAACATAGAAATAATCAATGCACATGTGAAAAAATACTTAGCATCATTCCTTTCCTCAAATGATTGATGAAAGCATGTGTTGACAAAAATGCAGAGCAACAGGGACTAAGTATGGCTGTAGGAAATCTAAAATGCTATAATCCATTTGGAATCCATTTGGAAGACACAGGGAACTTTTAAAAAAGATTTACTTTTATTTTATGTATATGAGTGTTTTTCCTGCACATATGTTTTCCTGCACATATGTGCACCATGTGTATGTCTGGTGCCTGGGGAGGCCAGAAGGGGGTGTTGGATCCTCTGGCACTGGAGTCATTAATGGATGTGAGCTGCCATGTGGGTTCTGGCAGTCAACCTGGGTCTTCTGCAAGAGCAGCAAGTTCTCTTAACCACTGAGCCATCTCTCCAGCCCACTTTGGCAATTTTTATAAAGGTAAGTATACACTTTTCATAAGACTCAGCAATTCCAATTTAGATATGTACCCAAAGGAAATGTAAACATATGTTCACACAAAGACATATCTGAATTTTCATTGTACCTTCATTCATAATTGTCAAATATTAACTATGGGATTATTTATACTCAACACAGGTTGAGTATTCTTTAACTACAATGCCTAAGACAAAAAAATTCCAGATTTGGAGATTTTTCATAGAATTTACCAGCTGAGTATCACTAATTCCAAAATCTGAAATGCTCCAAAAGGCATAATTTTTTGAGTATTAATTTGGTGCTTAAAAGGTTTCAGATTTGGGGCCATTTTAGGATTTCAGGTTTTTGTGTTTCTGTTTATTGAGTCAGTTTCACTATCTAGCCCTTGCTGGCCTGGAACTAGCTACGTAGACCATCCCAGGCTGGCCTCAGTCTCACAGTGATCCGCCTGCCTCTGTCTCCTGAATGCTGGGATTGAAGGCATGTACCACCAAATTCCGCAGATTTCAGATTTTTAAATTAGGGATGTTCAACACGCATATTCATACCATGGAATATTATTCATCATTAAAATGAGAAAACAGTAATATGTAATATAGCATGGATGAATTGCAAAATAATTCTACTAAATGAATGAAGCCAGACCCAAGAGAGAATACACATGACAGAATTCCATTTATATGAACCCGTATGTTCAAGTTACTTTTCTGTTGCTGTAATTAAACAGTGACCCAAATCAACTTGGGTGAGCAAAGGTTTATATCACCTTATAGGTTTCAGTCCATCATTGAGGGAAGCCAGGGCAGGAGCTCAAGGCAGGAGCTCAAGGCAGGAGCTTGAAGCACAGACCATGGAAGAATGCTGCTTTACTGACTGATTTCCCCTCTGGCTTACTCACTGTTCTTATACAGTCCAGGCCCATCTGCCCAGGGCTGGCACCACCGAACGTGGGCTGGCCCCTCTTACATCAATTAACACTCAAGAAAATACCCCACAGACATGCCCACAGGCCAATCTGATGGAGGAAATTCCTCAGTTGAGATTTCTTCTTCTTGCGTGGGTCAAGTTGACAAAAACTAACCAGCACATCCTAACAATAAAGATAGCTCTAATAATGATGAAAAGCACGACAATGGTTGCCTGTGGCTGAGGTGGTGGTGAATATTAATTGCAAGTACATATTAGTTCCAAGGAAACATTGTATGTAATGGAATGCTGTACCTATGATTGGTGGTCATATTGTTGCAAACCTTTATCAAAATGCATTAAACTACTTAAAATGGGTATCTTTTAGTCTATGTAAATTATACCTTAATAAAATTAATTATAAAAGAAAAAATGTTAAGTAACAATGACCACAAAGTTAAGAGACGAAAGAGAAGGATGCAGCTCTGTGAGGTGGAGAGGAGTGAAGACTCTGAAGGTGATGCTTACAAAGACAACATAAAGCAAGGATGGCTGCAGATGACAGTTTATTGACTGTTTTAGGGTGAGAAGATAAAATGAAGAGGAGAAAGTAAAAGGATACTGAGAAGACTAGGACAAAGACAGCCAACTGATTTTCAAAGAAGGCAAAGCGCTCAAAACCTTAATCTGTATGGTAAGACCCTAAGATTCTGAGGTGTGTTTTCAGTAATGAAGCATTAAAATAAGATAGGAAAGAATATCCAAGATCCATAGTGAGTAAGACTGTCATATGGTCCAGAGTATAGAAATTGGGGTCACTTCTGGAGGAAAGCCAAACAAAGAAGACAGTTTATATCAGCAACTCAGACAAAGGGTGAGAACAATTTGGCACCTAAGGCACCAAAGCGATCCACCCACAAATAATTTCTAAATTTTAGAACCTTAAGGAAGGACAGCAGTGATAGCATTTTCAAGGCTGTGGCCTCTCTTGGGAAAAATACTTCCCAAAAATACTACACACTCACCTAAACAGCTCTGGTGTGGGACTTCCTCCTCTAACATCCATAGTTCCTCTCCTTGCTCCAACTTGAACATGACCTCTGGTTTGGGAACTTCAAATCCTGTTTAGAGAACATAATAGAGGATTGGATATGCTGGTTTTTATTTGTTCTTTGAGAAAGTAATTAAATTTCATTTGGAATAGACTAATAATTACAAAGGTAACAAAGGGACTTAAGCATCTCAAAAAACCAGGGCCACTGCCATCACACACTTCAGATGTTCCAGATGTCCCCACAACTGAGAATGCAAATACCTTCACTGATGTTCTGCATTAGTTTCCTAGGGTTGTCACAACAAACTACCAAAATCCTAGTGTTTAAAACAACAGAATTTATCCTTTGACATTTTTAGAGGATAGAAATCTGAAATCAATGTGTCAAGGCCATTATCTCTCTGATGGCTCTAGGAGAAATTCCCTTCTTGGATCTTCTAGCTTCCAATGTTTAATGGAAATCATTCCAGTATCATGGCTGTCTTCTTGTGTTTCTCTTCATTGCCCCGTTCTATTGATGCTTATAGAACCATTGCCCTTCAGTGTCACACAGCATTCTCTATGTGGGTATGTTTCTGTGTCCAAATCTACTTTTTTGGTAAAGATGCTGGTTATATTACATCAAAGCCCACTCTAATCACCTCACTTTAATTTTATTACTCCCCTTAAGATATTTCCAAATGTGTCACATTGTGAGTACTGGAGACTAGGACTTCCATGTAACTTTTGGGTGGACACATATTTAACTGAGTAGAGTTTGCCCTATATCCCTCTCAAGTTTATGTCCTTCCCATTTGCAAAATATCCACCTCTTCCCAACTTTCTCAAAGTCTTAGTCATTCCAGCATCAACTCATAAAAAAAAAACTCATCCAAACCTTATTAACTTAAAGCCCCAAATATCATCCTCAAAACCATCCAGATCACTTGGTGTATGATTCATCCAGGGGCCACGTTCTTCTTCATCTGTGAACTTATAAAATTTCTTATCTTTCCCCAAAACATAATGGTGGACCGGCATTGGATATATAGTCCCATTTTAAAATGGAAAAAGAAAATAAGAGAATAATCTTCATGTATCCTTTGAATTCTCTGAAGTGTCAGCCCCGCTCCCTCAGCCCTGGGATAGAAATCACACCCCTCATTATTGATCCTACTAATCAATTAGCAAAAAAAATTGCTTTCTGTCCCCATGGCCTTATGTTCTTCTGCTCTAGAAGCTTAGTTTCAAAGGTTAGAACACTCACCAGAAGACACAATTCCATTGAAGTAGATGTTAGATTGCCCCTGGAAATCTAACTCTGGGCTCTTCATACTGCTTCATTAACAGATAAAAAGTGTCTTGCTATACTGGCTGAATTGACTGATCTTGGCTATGGAGGGGAAATAGGACTGCTATTCTGCAATGGAGGTAAGGAAGAGTATGCCTGGAATACAGGAGATTCCTTAAGGTACCTCTTAGTACTACTGTCCTAGTTTGTTCTTCGTTGCTGTGACAAAACACTCTGACCAATACCAACTTGGGGAGGAAAGGGTTTATTTATCTTACATCTCCCAGGTTGCAGTTCATCGGGGAGCCCAAGGTAGGAACACATCAGGGCAGGAACCTGGAAGCAGGAGCTGGAGCACAGGCCATGGAGGAACTCTGCTTACTGGCTTGCTCCCCTGGCCCCTGCTCAGCCTGCTTTCTTATGCTGTATAGGCCCACCTGCCCAGGGGTGGCACCACCCACAGTGGGCTGGGCCCTCCCACATCAGTCATCAAGAAGATGCCCCTCAGACATGGCCACAGGCCAGTCCAATAGAGGCAATTCCCCAACTGAGGCTCCCTCAACCCAGGTGTGTCAAGTTGACACTAAAGCTATCCAGCACAACTACTGTTAACATAAAGACACAAGTCTCAGCTCAAAGTGGATATGAAATATTTCATTCTGAAGACAAATGTGAATGATGATGGCTTGGGGACACAGATTTAGCTTACTCCAAATTCCATGCTCCGACATGGCAGTTTCATGAAGATTTTATAATAAGAGATCCAAGAAAGTCAGAAGTCAAGTCACTTTTCAAATATATTGGTGGAAACATCAGGTAGGCAGGCAGGTACATCAAAGTGGGAAAACCTCTGCTGCAGGTTTCAGATGCTATCTAAGAACATTTTTAGTCTTTTGGTTGGTGGAAGCTAGTGATCTGTTAAGTTAATAATTCCAAAAGGTTTCGCTTGATAGTTACAATGATGTTAGATCAGACACAAAGGTGGACAAGGAATGGCTATTAAGGGGGTTAAAGATAGCTCAAAATAAATTGTTATTAGGATCCAGACCTGCAACATTCCAACTTGTCAACAATCAGTTCTAATCAGTTCATCACCCTTGCAGAAGGTTCAGTGTAAGGTGTAGTTCTTTTCAGGAACTTTCACTCAAACTACTATACCTATTGATTAAAGTCACTAAAAACTAACAATCCATATAGGATCACTTATGACCCAGACCCTTCAGAAGAAAGACTCTCTCCTTGACCAAACTTAATCCAAGGTTCTCTGGATCATCTTCCCAATTGGGCTTCAACTTTTGTACCTCTGTACCCATCTTTACCTCACACACTTTTAACAGGGATCTTATTACAACAATTTAGCCAGAACCCCCAACTTAGTATCTGATTACCCTTCACATCTGGTCAAATTTCTTATTTCCTATCACCTCACAGGTGATATATTACCACACTTGCCTAACATCAGCAAGAATCAGGTTCAGTCAAAATCCCCCTTTGCCCTGTTAGTAATTTTCTATCAACTAGCTCCTACCCTTCTCATTGGTTACAAAACCCCTCTTGTCCTAGTTCTAGATGAAATTTAGCCCAGCTGTACACTGAGGTCTTTTTTTTTCTATTGCAACAGTCCTGAATGAAATTAATTTTTACAGCTTAACTACTCCCCCGTTCTGTTGCTACTCATTTGTTTTGAAGGCCAGATCCAGCTCTGTACACACACACACACACACACATACAACCTCCTTCCTTTGGTCGCCACAAAAGGTAAAGAATCATGACTCAGTAAGATGTCTGTGGTGGGCAAAAGCAATATGTAATTAGCGGGAGAAGAAGAAAGTGCCATCACCACTGCAGCATAAAGCCTTCCAACTTCCAATCTGCTAGGCTTTGGATTGAAGATAGCAACAATTCTTTCCTAAAGTTCCAGACTACTGGTCTGCCCTGTGAATTTTAGATTTGGTAGACTAGCCCCCCCATACATATTTTCTTATTGGTTTCATTTCTTTTCTCTGAAGAATATTTTATTTATTCTTTTTAAAATATTTTTTATGTGTATGAGTGTATTATTTGCATGTACGTAGGTGTACCCATGTCATGCAATGCCTGCAGAGATCAGAAGAGGGTGCCAAATCCCCTGAAACTGGAGTTAAGGATGCTTGTTAGTTGCCATTTGGGTGCTGGGAATCAAACCTGGGTCCTCTGCAAGGGTAGTCAGTGCTCTTAACCACTGAGCCATCTCTCCAGCCTGTGTTTTATTTCTCTGGAGACTCTTAATACAGATTTTGGCACCAAAAATAGTTCCAGAAGAAGTGAATCTTTAGGATCAGGTTTCCTGAATTAGTTCTGGGATTTCTGGCATTGGTCCTTTAATTTGATTAGATTTTAAAGTACTGCTAACTATTTCCAGTAATAAAGAGGACTCTGATCGCTCCTGGTATGATGTACTGACCCAGAAAAACAAATATCAACACTGGATACTCTTAATCAAAAACAAAAGATAACCTGAATGAGCACAGATTTGATATCTTAGAATATTTTGTAGGGCAAAATTGGCAAGGTATCTCAAATTACACTGGATAAAGGCAGACAAGACGAGTTCAGATATTGCATTTCCCAGCTCATATGCCAGATAAATTACTTGAAAACTTCTACATCTGGGCCATGTGTGGTGGCATGTATCTGTAATCCCAGGAGGCAGAAAGAGTTTGAGCCTGTTTAAAGACCAAACTCCATAGAATGTAAAGAAGGTCATGTTTCTTTGAGGAAGGACCTTGATACAAATTTTTTTGGGGGGGGGTCTTTTTGAGACAGGGTCACCCTGTAGCCCCAGCTGGCCTGGAACTCGCTATTTGGACCAGGCTGGCCTCGAGCTCCACCTGCCTCTGCCTCCCGAGTGCTGGGATTAAAAGTGTGTGCCACCAAGCCCAGTTTATAAATCTTAATAATATTAATCTTTCTCAAAGTCTTCCCCCAAAGAGGCCTATAGTCTTTTATCAGGGTAACAGTGCATTTAGAAAAAGAAAATAATTAGACATTTTGAGGCTTACTAGATACTTTCTCTAAATGGGTATTAGTTCCAAGAGACCTGAAATGCCATTGTGATTCACCAGCCACAAAAAAACGAGTCCAGGTCTGTAAATTTACAGAGCTCAGGTCCATCTTACAGTTACAGAATACTAACAGAAATATACATGCTCAGCAACTGGCAAAATCACTATTCATTCCCTGATATATGGAGTGAGGGCTCTAATAGTGGATGTTATGGTTTGGATACAAAATGTCTACCATAGGCTCTTATGTTTGAATGCTTGGTCCTGAATTGGTAGTACTGTTTTGGGTTGTGGAACCTTTGAGAGACAGGGCCTAACTGGATGGAAGTGGGTCACTGGGGAACAGGCTTTGAGGTCCATAGCCTGGTCCAGCTTCAAGTTTCTCTCTGCTTTCTGACTGACAGTATGACATAACCAGCCACTGCTAGATATGGAGAACATCTGAGGTGGGAGGGCACAGGGCCATGCACCCTCTTCTTCTTTGTGAGAAAGGACAGAGCAAGGACCTGATTTTTTCTGCCTTACATGTTCCTGTCTCTGTGAGTTGCAAAGTTGAACTATGATGAACTGGAATGGTCAAATCATTCTGTGACATCAAGTAAGTCACAATGGAACACTATTGGAGACAGAGCCATTTGGAAAATGGTTTGTGTCTCTGAGCCAGACAACAAAAATGGACTATTCAGAAGTTGCAGAAGCCCTAGAGCCTGGTGACTCCTCCATGGCAACCTAGGATGAACTGACTTAATTCTCCAGGTAATCAGGGCCCTGTGTCCCTTCTTCGTGCAGAGAAGCCATTTCAGAGTGCGGCAAGGGAGGCTGACATTTACTGATAATTTTCAGCCTCAAAGATATGCATAAGAGAGAATTCCTATGGAGGCCAGAAGTCCATCTCCTTGGGTGTCATTTATTAGGAGCTGTCCACCTTGTTTTTTGTTTTTGTTTTGTTTTGTTTTGTTTTGTTTTGAGACAGTGTCTTTTGCTGGGACCTGAGGCTCACTGGTTTGGATAGATTAGCTGGCCAGTAACCCCTGAGATCTCCTGTCTTTGCCTCTCCAGTGTTGGGATTATAAACATGCAACATCATCCCTGACTTGGTTACATGGGTCTAGAGCTTTAACTCAGATTCTTGTGCAGCAAGCACTTTATTGGCTGAGTTATCTTTCCAGCCTCTCTGCTGAGTTTTACAGATGCAAAATCACATGCAATTGGTGTGGTGGTGACTGACCTACGGCCACATAGACCACTGCAGCAACACAGAACAAAGGCTCTGACACCTAGCTCTGCTCCATTGGAAGGCACACTATACACTAGGAACAGTGGGCCCAGTGCACACACTGTTTGCCATTCTGGCAGAGCTATGCTAGCCCATAGAGGGAGACCAAGATTGATCCCATCACTCCTCCAAACAGAATTCTCTTTTATAGAGACATCTGCATGTGTACAGTGAGGCTGCAGGCCATTAACCAGTGTGCCCATCACGAGGCTCCACAGATGTCTGCTACTACTTGAAGACCCCTGTGATGTGGTTACTATTTGGTTCTTCTATAAAGAGGCTTTTTCTCAAATTAAACAGAATGGCTTAAATTTGGAAAAAAAATAGAATTTCCTTCATATGCCAAGTGAACATAGAATAGCCCAGTGCTGAATCTCGGCCCTATAGTGGGTTGCTAGAAAGGTAGCATACAGAAGAACCCCTCCTAGTGCTACTTGAAGAAAACTTAAGTCCTTTAGATTCAGGTTCAGACTAAAGGACTAAAAACTTAAGTTCTTTAGATTCAAGCAATGTGAAGTCAGTAGCAACCCATGGAGCACTGAACTTGGGTCTTAGAGGAGTCGTGTTGCTTGAGAATGTAGCCCAAAGTAGATAATAAACTCCATATAAGTCTAAACACCAGTACAAAATTGATATCTAAGTACCATACAGGAACATTAGGGCGTTCAAGAGCATGTGGAACTGTTAAGAGGAGTGAGTTCACTTTAGATACAGCATTCCCATACACTTGACTCCGAGTGGTAGCCCTACCCACCTGGCCTTGGACATAAAAACGGCCCTTCCCCGATGAAAAACGGAGAACGTAGTTGTCTCTCCATTTCCATAAACTACCTCTTGGGGCCTATGATAGCAACTCCTGCAGCCCTGCTGACCTCAGAACCATTCATAAAAATCATTCTTTTTTCTTCTTTGGTTTTTGAAGACAGAGTCTCACTATACAGCCATGGCTTGCCTGGAGGTTACTATGTAGACCAGGGGGCCTCAAACACACACCTACCTCTGCCTCCCGGATACCAGGATTAAAGGCATGTGCCACCACACTCAGCCATAAAGTCATTCTTCCTTTTCTTTTCTTTTTCTCTTTTTGTTTTTTCGAGACAGGGTCTCCCTGTAGCTCTAGCTGGCCTGGAACTCTCTATGTAGACCAGGCTGGCCTTGAACTCATAGATATCCACCTGCCTCTGCCTCCCAAGTGCTAGGATTAAAGGCTAAAGGTGTGTACCACCACACCTGGCTCCATTCATCCTTTTCTTTACTGATAACACAAGTTCACATCCAAAAAGCATTACATTCCGTTTCCTGCCTGTGGAATCCCAAAAGGCCTTCTTTCATTTTTTTCCCCCATCTCTGTCTCTTGACTGGATCCAAAAGTCACATATCTAATCTCTTGAGCAACTGTTGTTCAGTCACATCTTCAATGTTCTTCACGGAATATATTTTCTCAATATTTACAATATGGTTAGGCTGAGCATTTTCAGAATCTTCAAATTATAATTTTTCCTCTACCAATTCCTTTTCTTATCTATTTCCTCTCACATTATATGATAAACAGCAAGAAGAAATCATGCTGTGCTTTCAACAATTTGTTTAGAAATCTCCTCAGATAAATATTAAAGTTCATTACTTAAGTTATTTTGGCCTGAGAGAATACAATTCCACCAAGATCTCTGTGACTTTAGAACAAGGACCACCTTTCCTCTAGTTTGTACTAAAACATGTTCCATATTCCATCTGACATTTCACCTTTAACATTCATATTCTCACAAGGTTCCTCAAATAAACCTATGCTTTTTATGTCAAACATATCAAAACCAGTCATTACTTAGGAGTTAGCTACAGACAGGCTGTCAGAGAAAAGGTCACAAGGAGGGAAAGAGATAACATCTCCCATTTAACTGCTGGGATGCGCCTAAAAAAGGACATTCACCATAAAAATAAAATACCTTCCTGACAAGACCATCAGTCAGACAAGGGGATAGGATATTAAAGGAGAGAAAGACCTGGGGATCCTATAAAAGGACAGTCCAGAAGTCATTTGGTAGTCTACCAGCTCTGGAAAGCCCACCCTTCCCAACAGGGTCCCTTTAGTTTACTTTTTGCTTCAATAAATGACTGTTTTCACCCTTTTCTGAGTACTCACTTCATTCATCCCTGAGCATTCAACTTTTTGTCTGCCTTACTTCATTCAGCCCTAAGCATTCAACTTGTTGTCTGCCTCTGGGAAGAACTGGGATTCCAGGGCCACCAGCTCTTGACCCTCTCACCCCCACAACAATTATACAAAGCCCTTTTCACATTTTGAAATTAATTTCATTTATATGTGTGTGTATGTGTGTGTGTGTGTGTGTGTGTGTGAGAGAGAGAGAGAGAGAGAGAGAGAGAGAGAGAGAGAGAGAGAGAGAGAGAGAGAGAGAGAGAGAGAGAGAGAGAGAGAGAGAGAGAGAGAGAGAGACCATGAGTATGTGCATGCCATGGCATGCCTATAGGAGTCAGAGAACAACCTCCAGGAGTCAGTTTTCTCCTTGTACCATGGAATCTGAAGACTGAGCTCAGGTAGTCAGGCACAATTAACCTGCTGTGCCATCACCCTAATTCCTCTTTAGGAATTTTTCAATGTATACCCCATTACCAAATATAAAAATTTGTATTAGTTTCCAGCCCGGCGTGGTGGTACATGCCTTTAATCCCAGCACTCCGGTGGCAGAGGCAGGCAGATCTCTGTGAGTTCAAGGACAGCCTGGTCTATAAAGCGAGTTCCAGGCCAGCTGGGGCTACAGGGAGACCCTGTCTCAAAAAGACAAAAAAATTTTGTATTAGTTTCCTAGGGCTTCTATAATGAAGTGCCATAAACTAGAGGGTTCAGAGGGCAGGAAAGATGGCTCAGTGGTTAAGTGCACTGTCTGCTCTTGCAGAGGACCTGGGTTTGATTCCCATCATCCACATGATGGCTAAAAACCATCTGTAACTCCATTTCCAGGGGATATGACACTCTCTTCTGACTGCTGTGTGCATTGCACAACATAGGTGCACTTACATGCATGCAGGCAATACATTCATATGTGTTAAAAAATAAAATTAAAAAAAAACTAGAGGGTTCAAAATAGATATTTATTATCTCACAGTTCTAGAAATGAGAAGCCTAAAATTAAGTGCCAAATGCAGATCCATGCTCTTTGAAGGTACTAGAGAAAAAAATGTTCCACACCTCTCCCTTAGCTTCTGATGTCCTGAGATGTTTCTTCGCTTGAAGATGTATCCTTCCAATCTCAACTCATCTTCTTATGTCTTCACATTATTTTCCCCATGTTCATAGGTATTCGTACACCCAAATTTCCTCTTTTCATAAAAGACAGGTTCTATAGGGCCTGAAGATTGCTGAATGGTTAAACATCCTTCCAAGCCTGGCAGCCTGAGTTCAATCCCCAGAATTCATGTAAAGGTAGAAAGTACCAATTCCACAAAGTTGTCCTCTGACCACGACACAAACAACATTGCACATGCACTCCTCCCACATCATGCACACACAAACACACAATAATGAATGAATGAATGAATGAATAAATAAATAAATAAATAAATAAATAAAGGACAACAGTTATATTGGATTAAGACCCACCTTAATTACCCCATTCTAGCTTGATTACTTCCATAAAGAATCTATCTCCAAATAAGGTCATATTTTGAGGTACCAAGGATTAGGACTTTAATATACTTTCTTTGAAGACAATTTAACCATAACAGGCCCCTGACAATGCCTCAGGATGACTGTGCTTACCCACTGAGAGCAGGTGGCTGTAGTTTTCCAGCATTACATCCTGGTACAGGCATCTTTGAGAAGAGTTCAATTGCTGCCACTCCTCCCTACTGAAATCCACTATCACATCCTCAAATGACACTGGGACCTGCAACAACACAATCCTGTTTAAGACAACATGATCAACACAGGGGCATAGATAAATGACAGATAGGAAGGTGTTTTAATGATTTTTATCATAATATACCATATTGCATGCCTATTAAATATATATATGGTAATATGTAGAGCACAATCATCTAATCATAAATTTCTGCTACTGTGCCCATGCCCCCTACAGTGGGACCATGTGTGGCCCTTCCCACTTTGCCAGGGCTAGACTTCTCTGCCCTACAGTAGGGACCCAGACATTAGAAGACTGCCTGAGAATGCCTGACTCTGGCTTCCACATGGGTGTGAGCTCCCCAAATTGTGCTGTGCCCACCCCCCTATATTGGGACCACCTGTAGTCCATCCCATCACCCCATGTCTAGGATTCTCTGCCCTTTAGTAGGGGCACAGACTTTTGAAGACTGCCTGAGAGGGCCTAAACACCCCCCCAACTTAGGGAGATTCCCAAATTGTACTGACTGTTTGCTAAACCTTAGGAGGAAGCCTGAGAGTATGTGATTAGCACCTGACTTGAACCACTGCAGGAGCTCCCGAGTAGCTGGACTGAAGCTATCTGTTCCCTCCAATATAAAATCTGAGAGACTCCAGAGCCTAGACCAACCAGCTTTACATACCCAATAAGAAAACAACCAAGGCAAATCAATAATACAAACAGAAGCAGACTTCAACTCAACAAAGGAAGGCTTGAGTTTCATACCAGAGTCACAAACAAAAGAAATCGATGTGCCAAAAATCACAATAATAATACGGAAATCAAAATAATATGTTCCCATCAAACACCACCAGTCCTATAGAGGAGTTTTACAAGGAGAACTCCCTAGAGATAACCCAGGACTAACTAACCTAGAGATAACAGGAATTATCAAGGAAGAAATGGGGAAAACAGGGACACTTTAAATGGGGAGAGCAGGGAGGGATGATAAGAGAAGAAGAAAGGAGACATAAATAGTGCCTAGCTAGTATAAAAAAAAACAGAGGGAATCCTATTAGTCCAAAAACCTACTGAAAAATTACACATACAATATCTCTACATGAGTCCATGTGTATAGTTGAAGGCTACATAACAAGAAACAGTGCCAGACAGATGAAACCTTCTTTTGACTTGTTGGCCAGGGTGGTCCAAGAGACTCCCAAAATTACACCAGGCTATTGCCACAGCCCTTGATTGCCTCCCAGAACTTGAAGGTAACACCCTATTGCTGAAGACAGGACAAACTTTGGACACAGGATTTGGAGTAATGGAGCTGGAAATGACCTGGAAGCCACCTCCCCTGAAGCCTAGCTCTCATAGCTTTGGAGAGCACTATGTGAGCTGGTAAAGGAGAACATCAATTGATGGTCCAACCCCAGCTTCAAGGACTAAAAACCATATCAATGACCAGCACAGCAAACAACATTGGTGCAGTAGTGGCACATTTATCTTGGGGATAATCAACAGCTACCTAACTAGACTTAAAGCCCACTCAATGGGAGGAAATTCACATGGGTACTGTAAACCTAGCTAAATACACATAGCTGGTGAGGTCACAGATCTTAGAGGAAACCCCACGGCTTTCACATAAGCTTCTTTTTCAACAGACAGAGACTATTACAGAGTTCCAAAACTGGTCACACAAAGAGATGGTCTGTGAATTACCCAGGCCTAAGTGGAACATCTACAATGCAATCTATATAAGGCTTACAGAACATAGAACAAAGGATGATGAGAACACTAATGCATCTTTCAGTTCTCATCAATGAAGCTCCCTCATGCAACAGAGGGCCAGGAAAACAAAAGTACACAAATGGCCAAAACATACAGAATAAGAGTCCACAGAGTGTGGGTCCTAGGACAAGACTCCTATATTAAAATCCACCCACCCAGGGCTCAGGGACCATTGCAGAAGATGGGGCAGAAAGGCTGTAAGAGCCAGGGAGGAGGTGTATAACCATACAGAAATAGAATCCTACAGGCTCCTGGGATTCTTCTCATATGAGCCAACAGCAATGGTGTCAGCACGCACAAGACCCATGCAAACTCAAGCAGGAAAAAACCCAGCACAGAACTGTGGAAATGGATAGCAGGCTCCAATCTTAGTTGAAGAATTATTGTCGGCTGATTACTGCTGGGTGAGGAAGAGCAGATCTTCTTAAAAGGGGGGACTCTAGATAGGCTGAGTAGACCTCAGTGGATTAACTTGCACTGATGGACATCTGGGGACAGTAACTTGACATCATAGGCCTTAACATACATGACATAATGTATTAATTTCAGTAGCAGTGGGCTATGGGAGGGGGCCAGTGGGGAAGGGGGTATAAAGATGATTAAGATGTTCTGTATGAAATACACAAAAATTCAATAAGATTTTTTTTAAAAAGTTGGCACAGAAAATTTGTCCTAGCAGTATATAAATCTTGTCATTATCCACAATAGATTAATTCTGTTATAATAATTAGAATAGTAATTATATTTTATAAAGTTAATGTTATAAAGGTAACCACTTAAATAACAAAACAATGAACCCTTCCAGCATCCACTTTTCTAGAAACAAGGAAAAATAATAGAGCATGTAGTGAAAGATAAGAAGGATTGAAATTAGAAAGCATAATATAAAATATATATTTCACACGTTACACAAAAAATAAGCAAAGATTCAGAGCAATGATAAAAGAATATGTAAAGGTGTATCAGAAAGTATCAACAGAAAGGAAGTATGTTGTCCATCTTAAGTGGTTACCTTTAT